GAGACACAAGCATGGCTGTAGGCCTACCAGGTTCTTTTGAAAACCTTTTGGTAAACCAGAGTGGATCTACAGCTTAATGAACAAGTGGGCAGGGAAACGGAGCTCCACAATGGTTTTTACCAGAAATACGACTGGACTTTCAGAGTTATTAAACTCTTCTTGAGTAAAGAAAGGAGGATGGATTTTGTGTTCAAATAATCAACGTTTTGGTGAGTAAAGGTTACAGTGACTTTTCTTTAAAAAAAAATGGTATTTAGTTATATAAAGTCATTTTATGAAGTAAATATTAATGCTTATGCTAGAGATTATTTACTTAAGGCGTAGGTGTGAAATGCGCGGCCTGCTACCGACTAAAACCAGCTAATATTCCACTTGAATTTGTTTTCAGACAAGAAAGTAACAATTGGTTATGGAGAAGGTACATTAGTGGGATTTTGAACACAGCCTGAAACTCAGCTTTTCTGCAAACATTGAGAAGAAGGATATCCATTGTTTGGGGAGTTTTGGAAATTGTATGTATGGTCACCACTGAATCTGGAATATTAATCATCAGTCTTATTTCCAGCTGCCGTTTTCCACTAAAATGCGATTTCTAAACCCTATTTACCTGGTGGAGACCAAAACAGGGCATACAACAGAGTGAAGATTGGGCTTGGAAAACAATGAGATGGAAAACAATGGGTACCAATGTTTCAACAGATCTAATGATGTGTATATAAATGACTGTTTGCTTACACATTCTCCGTGAGGGGAATTGTTTTGCTGCCAAAATTATCTATTAATGGGCTTCTGTTTTTGACTTAATCACAAAAGATGAGAGTGAGGGGAGGCATTTATAACACTGTATAACAGAGGTCTGAACTCCAGCAGCGTTGAAGCAGCTGGAGGGTAATGAGAGGGAGCTGCCTCCCCCTGCTGAGCCCCACATCACTCATCTCAGTGCTGCGTATCACACAGCAAGACTTTCATCTGCTCATTAAACCCATACATGACTTCATCTTAATGACTTTCCCTGCTGTTTGGAACTAAAAGACAGTTTATATCTTAGTGATGGGAAAACCTGGCCGTGTCCTTTACAGTCTTCTAGGTCAGGAGGAGGAGGAGCACTGTGGCTGTTTCCCGGGTTATTATGGGCTTTTCGCCTCTTGCAATTATCTGCCAGATTGCTGGGCCACTCCTTTCGGTTTCAAACTGAAGAAAGCCGTTTTTGTTTTTGTGTCCTCTCCCTGAGTCAGCAGTCTATTTGCAGTAACAGGGTGTATTTAGTGGGAGATTTCCTTTTTTAATACAGCGCTATGACAAAAGTGGTTTACATTTTATTGGCTACTATATGGGGAAGGAAGAGAATCATAGATTGATTTGGTTTTCATTTCTGGCCTCAAGGCAATACAAATTCAACATTTAAAAGAGTGTTATTTTGAGGTGAAATGTCTTGTCCAACAACCTCCCTTTTAGAAAGCAAGGTAAGCCTTGATGAGTTTCAGGGCCTGGATATAACTGACATTAAACTCTATGTAAATAGAACATGTTTGATGGTGTGGCTGAAGGCGTATCCATCACACTGGTCATTATATGTAGCTGAGCCCACCATCACGTCTGTGGAAGATCAACCAGTGATGACACTATACATGGATCATAAAAACTCATGAAGAGCACACCTGGTAGTTATACCTCAGTTTTTAATTACAAGTGCACAACTGGTTGTTTGATCATACAGGTCACTCACATGAAGAAGAAAACATTACATCTCAACAGTTACAGTAGCTTACTGTAGATGCCTTTGGGTTCTGTAGGACACAGCATTGCTTAAGGCAATATATCATTTATACATACTGTAGTCTACACTTTTACATTTACAGAGAATCCCTGGAATGCTGGATTGACAGGACAGCTTCACTTAGAAAACCCTGACGTGTGGTGGACCTGTGCTTTGGTTCCTTCAGGAAAAACTATTGGGTCCATTAGTAGAGGACAACAGAGCACACGGCAGAACATCATGTCAGCAGGAAGGATGGGACTTTGTTACACGCTCTGTTTTGAAGGACATTGACAACCCTGGGATTGTCAAGGGTTGTCTACTTTTATATTGAAGTAATTCTTCGATTTAATTTGGCCTTGATCACTGCTTACAGAACGGTTACACACAGGGGCTGCGCACATCACAATACCCCCTACAGACAAGATACAGAGAGCAAACCAACAATCTTCTCTTTCAACATCAATAAATCCTTGGGTCCTTGGCATGCCAGAAAATACGCCTTTCATGCATCACTTTCAGAAAAATGAAGAACCTCATGATATTTATGGTTCCTTATGAAACTCCATGATACTTCTGATCAGAGTGAGTGCTTTACATCTTCTAGTGGGGAGAGATATTGCACTTGGAACATTTTAATTGAAAAACGATCAGAGAAACAGAACACATTCCAGAGCCAAGCATTTCTAGAAACGTTTACAGGAGATAAATGTACATTTCTCATGCAACCACTCTCCTTTAGCTGCTGATCTTGGTCAGCATCTTGTTGATGGCCTGTTTGACGTGTGTGGTGGAGCTGCGGCGCCGGGCCTTGCCCTGCACGGCCTTGCGGCGCCTCACTTCGCGACACAGCTCATGAAAGGCCTCGGCCACGGTGCCCCCCTCGTTGGCACACGCTGAACATTCGTAGAAGGCGCACGCCATTTCAGCAGCCAGGCGCTCGCCCTCCTCGGTGCCCACCTGCCGGGCGTGGTCCAGGTCCGACTTGTTGCCCACCAGGACCAGAGGCACGTTTTTGGGCCTCTTCACCTCCTCTAGGAGACTTCGCAGCGGAGCCACCTCCTCAAAGCTCCCGCGGTCTGTGATGTCATATACAATGACAAATCCGTCACCCCAACGCATGTGACTCTCCTTCTGCTGGATGTCCTCCTGAGACAGAAGACAGAAACTCTGGTCACAAACTCAAAGTGTAACAATAATGCTGAATCGGTTCAATATTTGAGGAAACTTACTTACAGAGAATGAGATCATTTCTGTATGCTAAATATGAAGCTACAGCCAGCTGCCAGTTAGCGTAGCTTAGCATAAATACTCGAAACAGACGGAAAAGCTAACCTGGCTCTTTTTAATAGCAGTAACGTCTGCTCCAAACTTACAACATCTTATGTTGAATCTATTACAAGATGGTATGTGCCAGACTATTTATTGGTTGGGAATACTGCATGTGTCTTTAAAACCACAATGCATTGTGTCTGGACCAGTTATAATAATAATAATAATTTATATTTATATTTCATTACATTACATTGCATTTAGCTGACGCTTTTATCCAAAGCGACTTACAATAAGTGCGTTCGACCAACAAAATACAAACTTGAGGAAAACAGAATCATATAAGTACATCAGGCTTCATAGAGCAAAAACATTTCAAGTGCTACTCAACTGGCTTTAGATAAGCCAGTCCTTTATTAGTATATAAGTGCTTTGTTAATAGTTCTATCGCTCGAAGTGGAGTCGAAAGAGATGAGTTTTAATGCCCCGGCCACACGAGGACGAAAACGGTCGTTTGCGTTACTGTTTAGTGTCATATAGACCGTTCGGCCACACGAGGACGACCGAATACGGCACTAAACGACTGCGGAAACGATAACGGGTCCCAAGGTGGATATAACGGCATACGCAACGCTCTGGGGGGTCCAACGGCTCCGTGTGTACGCCCTATACGATCATTTTCTGATAATGATGAGGCAATAGCCCCGCCTCTCCCCACCTCTGCTGCTCACCCCCGGCGTCAAAGTAAACTGCACACTGAATTCAGATTATTTATCTTTCTCTCGATATGGACATAAACGCGAGTGAAGTCTAATCTGACAGGACGGAGACACCTCTCAAACTACCTAAACTAGTTATAAATATGTTTATTTTTACTGTCGGCCGGGTCACTCATTACTGGATCAGCTGCTGCATGAAACAGACACTGACGCTGTCCAAAGAGAGGGAGGAAAAAGAAAGGCTCCGTGTATTTTATTATTATATAGAGTCGTTATTCATTTGTTTTAAAGCTCAATAAATAACAAAGAAGACTTTTGACCGGCACTTTTATAATTTTGTCGGAAGATTTAAACTTTAATACACGTTGACTGGCTGTGAGGCTGACAAGTGAGCGGCCCGACCAAGTAGGGAGACAGAGGCAGAACGTCTTGATACAACCCGGTGTGGGTATTTATTCATCTTTTGTACATGGTTGACCACATCAATATCCCCCAATGACTGTCTCCCACACTATCCTCTCCCAAATGAGCCCAACATGCCACTCTTTATGTTGTACCATTAATGCACCTTATATCATGACTTTTACACGCTAAACATATCCTTTGCACATAATCTCAACCGCTGTCAATCTACACAAACCAACACTTTGGCGCTCTCGCTATAACTCCCCTTTCTTTCCAGGTGGAGCCGAGAGCCTGACCAGCGTCTGCCAGACGACATCACAATTTAATACGGTTGAATCATTTAATACACACTACATCAATAAATAGTATAAAATGTGCAAATAGGCAATGTTTAACGGTACTGTGCAAATCTCGCTATTAAAGTGCAAAACTGTTCACTAAAGTGCTGAGTGACATTTGTCCTGTGCAAACCCACATGTGCCAGATTACCCGGCCTGAAGCCGTCAGTCCATAGTGACGAAGTTACCTTCGTCACACTGGCGAAAAACTCTGCCCGGTTCCCTCGGCCCCCACCACGGAGAATAAACAGAAGGGCAACCATGACAACCATGCTTCTTCGCTGCTTTTGTGGAGGAAGTTACAGCGCCACGTACAGGCTCCTGCATATGTACTGCAGCTTCTCCAGCGGATGGAGCTAAACGGAGCTGTCTCGTGTGGACAGACACTATCCGGATGACTATTGCGTGTGGACGGAAGCTTTTTTGCGATTGCGTTTGCGTTAATCCTATGCGTTTAGCCGTTTTCGTCCTCGTGTGGCCGGGGCATCAGTCTGCGCCGGAAGGTGTGTAAGCTATCTGCTGTCCTGATGTCAATGGGGAGCTCATTCCACCATTTTGGAGCCAGGATAGCGCCTTTCACGAAACCCAAGCACGCTTTACAATGGGAAGTAACAAAACAAAACAAAAAGTAATAATAATCATACAGATACATAGGCTGAAGAAAACAAAACAGGAACAGGTTGCTGAGTACTGTATATCAGTTATATTGTCAGCAAGGCTAAAAGCTGTTAATATTTCACTTTTGATATGTTTTCAGACAATAAAAAACTGTATGCTATTAAGAAGTTAATATACAGTGCATTAGTATTTGAACACATCCTGAAATCTACTTTTTATGCCAACATTGATAAGAAGGTTATCAATTATTTGGGGAGTTTTATGGATTGTTTATATAGTCACTACTGAATCTGTATTTATAACCATCAGTCATATTTCCGCTACCATGCAATAATCAAACCCCTATTAACTTGGTGGTGACCAAATCAGATCTTACAGCAAAGAGAATATTGGACTTGCATTTATCAGATGCCCAGTGATAGTGGATGTCAATGTTTCTCCAGGTCTAATGATAAGTAATATGCTAATGTAGTTAGCTTGGGGGAATGGGGGAAATGCTAACTTTTTTTTTTTAAAGCAGTCAACTAAAGTTCACGTTAAAACGGTTACTAGTGGTAAAGTTCCAGACTATTTCTCGCTTGGGACTTCTGTCTGTGTCTTTGAAACCACAACGTTTTATTTATTCAGCACCACAGGAAGTCATCCCTGCCTGTGACCATTAAAAACTCTTTAACCCCTCCCTCAGAATCTTCAACACTTATTTCCCCTCTTTCAGCAGCTTCATCATTTATTTATACCTTCAACTCTGCAATACTGACCTAATAGTTAAATTATGTTGTGCAGTAAGTTCACTGTGCAATCTTTTGCTTTAATCTAGCATTGATACTGCATTTATTCATGTATTCATACTGTGCATTTCAACTAATATTTGTATGTATTCTATTATTACATTAATTATTACTCCCACTTTTCAGCATTATTTTAAGTACCCTGTTGGTATATATTTGTATTCATTTATTTATTATCTTTTTAAATATTTAGTTATTTTTTGTTGTAGTATAATTCAAATATCTTTCCAACATTATTTGAATGGAATATTTCTATTTTAGAATGGGATAACTGTGACCCATCACCAAATATATGGTGTTCTTAGTTTCCATACCTCCTGTGTTTTACGAGCGACTTATCAAGTCTTAGCAAACGGCATAAAACATGATTAAACATGATAGTATATAAAACCATGCTCGTATCTATACAACCTATAGAAATGCAAAACAGCGTCAGTTTAGACGTAATTTTGTCCTTCTGCATACCGCATCATTGATGATGAGAATACATGTCATAACATTAAGACAACATACAGTGGGGCAAAAAAGTATTTAGTCAGCCACCAATTGTGCAAGTTCTCCCACTTAAAAATATGAGAGAGGCCTGTAATTTTCATCCTAGGCACACTTCAACTATGAGAGACAGAATGGGGTGAAAGAATCCAGGAAATCACATTGTAGGATTTTTAATGAATTAATTGGTAAATTCCTCGGTAAAATAAGCATTTGGTCACCTACAAACAAACAAGATTTCTTGCTCTCACAGACCTGTAACTTCTTCTTTAAGAGCCTCCTCTGTCCTCCACTCGTTAACTGTATTAATGGCACCTGTTTGAACTCGTTATCATTATAAAAGACACCTGTCCACAACCTCAAACAGTCACACTCCAAACTCCACTATGGCCAAGACCAAAGAGCTGTCAAAGGACACCAGAAACTAAATTGTAGACCTGCACCAGGCTGGGAAGACTGAATCTGCAATAGGTAAGCAGCTTGGTGTGAAGAAAGCAACTGTGGGAGCAATTATTAGAAAATGGAAGACATACAAGACCACTGATAATCTCCCTCGATCCGGGGCTCCACGCAAGATCTCACCCCGTGGGGTCAAAATGATCACAAGAACGGTGAGCAAACATCCCAGAACCACACGGGGGGACCGAGTCAATGACCTGCAGAGAGCTAGGACCAAAGTAACAAAGGCTACCATCAGTAACACACTACGCCGCCAGGGACTCAAATCCTGCAGTGCCAGACGTGTCCCCCTGCTTAAGCCAGTACATGTCCAGGCCCGTCTGAAGTGTGCTAGAGAGCATTTAGATGATCCAGAAGAGGATTGGGAGAATGTCATATGGTCAGATGAAACCAAAATAGAACTTTTTGGTAAAAACTCAACTAGACGTGTTTGGAGGAGAAAGAATGCTGAGTTGCATCCAAAGAACACCTACTGTGAAACATGGGGGTGGAAACATCATGCTTTGGGGCTGTTTTTCTGCAAAGGGACCAGGACGACTGATCCGTGTAAAGGAAAGAATGAATGGGGCCATGTATCGTGAGATTTAGAGTGACAACCTCCTTCCATCAGCAAGGGCAATGAAGATGAAACGTGGCTGGGTCTTTCAGCATGACAATGATCCCAAACACACCGCCCGGGCAACGAAGGAGTGGCTTCGTAAGAAGCATTTCAAGGTCCTGGAGTGGCCTAGCCAGTCTCCAGATCTCCACCCCATAGAAAATCTTTGGAGGGAGTTGAAAGTCCGTGTTGCCCAGCGACAGCCCCAAAACATCACTGCTCTAGAGGAGATCTGCATGGAGGAATGGGCCAACATACCAGCAACAGTGTGTGAAAACCTTGTGAAGACTTACAGAAAACGTTTGACCTCTGTTATTGCCAACAAAGGGTATATAACAAAGTATTGAGATGAACTTTTGTTATTGACCAAATACTTATTTTCCACCATAATTTGCAAATAAATTCTTTAAAAATCAGACAATGTGATTTTCTGGATTTTTTTTCTTCTTTTTCTCATTTTGTCTCTCATAGTTGAAGTGTACCTAGGATGAAAATTACAGGCCTCTCTCCTCTTTTTAAGTGGGAGAACTTGCACTTGAACTTGCACTTGCACTTGTGGCTGACTAAATACTTTTTTGCCCCACTGTATTCGAGGTGGTTTCGGTGGTTTCGTTTTTGTGTGCACTGAGGATTCTCAAACAGGCGTTTGTTTAATCATTTTAAGATTGGCTTCAATCAATTTTTACGAATTAATTTTGTATATGATACATGAGAGGTAACATTATATTTATGGTATTATTTCCACATATTTCTCTCCATTCTTCCTTCTGCCAACGGGGTCGCAGTTTCTCGTCTCTCCCGTTTTTGTGCGTACGCATGGGTCAGAGTTTGCGTGGAGGACCACTTGCTTCTGGTAAGTTCTGCTGCCTAGCATGGTACATCCAGACAAAATGCATCTGGCTTGAAAGCATTCCCTCAGACATATGTTGGATAAGGCCACCATGGACAAATCTAATGGAGGTCAGAAGGTTATCAAAATCCCAAAAGGTATTTTATTTGTTGGACTTTCTGGTTGCTGGATGAAAGCGGACCCCTGCTCTGACCTGAGCGACCTGAGCTTCACCTACAGCAGCTTTAACCCACAGGATAAAAGCTTCTTATTGCTGGCACAGGAACACAGCTGCTATTTTAGAATGGGATAACTGTGACCCATTTTCCTTCGGAGGGTCAATAAAGCAGTGCTGATTCTGATTCATCCATGTCTGTTTGTATTTTACATTACACATTAAGTCTTGCCATATGTAGGCCATGTTCACATGTATAAAGTATTCTTTTTATGGAGAAGCTTTTTTTCTCCGATTCCTGGCTCTCTTTGTGCTCTTCCTTTCACCTTTTGAGGCAGACATCAGCAGACGTCACCGGGGAAATCAGCCGACAGCAGAACACCTACGCAGCACTGCAGCATATTTATCTTCAGCCTGAGGACTTGCTAAGCTCTCCCTCATGAACCACACTGCCTCTGAGATGCCATTCAGTCTCATAAACACTCCTACTATCACTCAAAAAACTGCCTTTTACAAAAAGTGTAAATGTCACATCGGATAAATGAAATGAAAAGTTTGAATCAGATTTAACTTTGAATATTCAACAGAATGCAATTATTAACTAGGCGTTCACCAGGAAGCGGGATCTTAGCAAATCATTGAGTTGAATCAGCAGTTTGGCTCATACCAAGGACTTGGCTTCATCAATGTGTTGCCATTCGTTTTTTTCAAATCTATCTCTAGCAACACCCCTAACTCTATGGAATATGTTTTCTGTCCACTCCTCAAATATAAATGTTTAACACAGAATCAGATCAGGGACAATGTGTCTCACCTGCCCGGCAGTGTCCAGGATCTCCATGGCAACAACCTCATCGTCAATGTTGGCTTGGTGACGATATGTTGATTCTGAAAGACACAAAAGTAAATAGCAATTAGTGATCAAAAACAATCTAAATCATCATTTAGTGATAGTACCAAATGCAGACTTCTGGAGGTGTGGAGAAGTCATCAGTACTGAAGTGGTGGTTTAATCCTGCAATGCAAGCATGCATGTCTTCTCCCTGGATGAATGCAGCGTTAAAATCCACATCTAATCACATATATACACAACGGATGACAGGTGTTGATTGGGTACCTTGCTGCAGTTTCCAATGATGTGTTCAATTAGTCTTTCCTGAGTGAGGATCTGAGCTGGAATAATGATAACAGCTGGTGGAATTCTATGAATGCTAAATAAATGTGCTCCACTGCTTCCTTTCTTATCTCTTTAGCAAATGATACACTGGAACATACTTAAGAAAAGGAAAGGACATGTCCAACAATGCCTTGAAGCAACATGTAGAACAACATTTCATGATTTGTGAAGCATTTATTTTGTCATTGTATTCATTTTCTATGCATATGAATAAAGTTGCTTCAAAACAAAACGTGTGTTCAGTGGGATTCTCTCAGCACCAACGTTTTATTTTCTTAAGTCCTTATGAATTTTCCTTCACATATTCCTTGACCTCATGTTGTTTTCCATCTCTGTGAAGGAAAATGTGTCAGGCGGTGGTTGACAGTTCATCCACAGCCCAGCCCCTCCTGGGGCCTCATTTCTAAAGCCTTGCGTAGGATTCACATGGGAAAGTTGCTTACGTAGGACAAAGCAAATAAATACGCACAGACATTTTCCGATTCATAAAACACTACGCTGGTTTCCCTTTATAAATCACAATCGACTCGAAATGCGGTGCAGCTTTTGCGGGCTTCACGTAACGCCCATATTTGCCTATAAAGAAACGCCCCCGTATTAATATTCATTTTGACTGACTACATGAAGAAGATCGCAGGAAATGACGACAGAACAGCTAAAAAAGACATTTCACACCGTGTCAGATGTTTTGTCTTTTGGGAAGATAAATCATATTGTTTGGTGGATGCAGTTTGAACCAGAGCAGCAGCATGGAGGTCGGATCATCACCAAAATAAATAAATAAGTGGTCCGAAAAAAGTTAATGACAAAATACACATTACCTTCCTCAGGCAGTGTGTCAGTGTGTTTGTGCCGGGGACAGGGGGACAGGGGACAGGGGACAGGGGACAGGGGACCCCCCCCCCCCCCCATGATGAGAAACTGTAAGAAAGTATCGGGGGGATGCCTGCGGAGTCAATTAATGTTAATTTTTTTATTTGGTGGTTTGTGTTCCAGCTGTCAATCAGTCTCCACTGCAGCCTGTGCGTCTCAACCCCCCCCCCCCCCCCCCCCAGCAACTCTATATCCACTAGTTAAATGAAATAAAACAAATGTGTTGTGTAATATCAGCTGCCAAACCTACCAAATATATGATGTTCTTAGTTTCCATACCTCCTGTGTTTTATGAGCGACTTATCAAGTCTTATGCTACGTTCACACCGGACGCGATGCGAATATTCGCTTAGCTCTAAACGCTCCTATCGCATCGCTCTAGTCGCTCGAGTTTCACCGCGGCTGCCAGCTGTGTTTACTCGCATCATTCAAACAAGACGCGCTAGCTCGGGAGCTACAACTACAACCAAATGAACATATTTTACCGTGATTAAATTGTAATACACGTTTCTAAATGATGCCGACGTAACAACATACTGATACCGGTTAGTAAAAACCATGAATTAATGCTTGACAAGTCGGCAGACAAGTCGGCAGGCAAAAAGCCTTTTAAAATGCTTGTTTTCTGAATGGAGATTGGGTCGACCAGGCTAAGCTAACGTTGTATATGCTCACGCCACACTCATAACAACGGCCTACAGACATAAATAAACCAGCGACTGTATTCGCCATGACACAGACAGTCTGTGGTTTGTTCTTGTTTAACTTTTGTACAGTTTCTGAACAGATATGAGGAGCTGTGATCTCTGTGTGCTAACTGCTAACAGCTAATGGCTGATGTTTTCTGGTTGAACGTCAGTGACGGCAGGCTGAGATCCTCACCGCTGATTGGCTTCCGCGAGAACGCGTCACGTGAATTTGACGCCCGAGTTGGAAAAATTGAACTCTCGCGTTTGACGCGGCCCCCTTCAATCGCGTGATTCGCGCCGCGTCCACCGCTTCATGCGCGCCGTCGGAGCGAATTCACGTCTGATCGTGTCTCTGCATTGACTTTACATGTAATCGCGCCGCCCCTAAACGTCGCATCGCGTCCGGTGTGAACGTAGCATTAGCAAACGGCATAAACATGATTAAACATGATAGTATATAAAACCATGCTCGTATAGAAAAGCAAAACGGCCTCAGTTTAGACGTAATTCTTATGAGAAAACATTTCATAACATTAACACACCATATTCGAGGTGGTTTTCAATAACATATCCGTATATTTATTTCTCCAAGTTACGTTTTTGTGTGCACTGATGATTCTCAAACAGGCATTTGTTTAATCATTTTAAGATTGGTTTCAATACATTTTTGCGAATTAATTCTTTATATGATACATGAGAGGTAACATTATATTTATGGTATTATTTCCACATATTTCTCTCCATTCTTCCTTCTGCCAACGGGGTCGCAGTTTCTCGTCTCTCCCGTTTTTGTGCGTACACATGGGTCAGAGTTTGCGTGGAGGACCGCACATTTTCCCGTCAAGTTTGTTTTTTATAAAATCGCAAACATTGCTTAGAAACTGGCGTACGCCATCTTTTGAGTGTACGCACCGTTTATAAATGAGGCCCCAGGTCACAGATATTATAACAATCCTTTCCCTTCAGTTCTGCCTGCAGGTCCTTTGCTTCTGGTAAGTTCTGCAAATGCATCTGGCTTGAAAGCATTCCCTCAGACATATGTTGGATAAGGCCACCATGGACAAATCTAGTGGAGGTCAGAAGGTTATCAAAATCCCAAAAGGTATTTTATTTGTTGGACTTTCTGGTTGCTGGATGAAAGCGGACCCCTGCTCTGACCTGAGCGACCTGAGCTTCACCTACAGCAGCTTTAACCCGCAGGATAAAAGCTTCTTATTGCTGGCACATGAACACAGGTGTGAACTGTGGCTGTGACCTCTCATTCCACCTCGAACAGCAGAAGCGTTATCTGCCTAAATTGCCCCCTTGTACAAATCCCATCTGTGTAAACATCTCCCGCACAGCGCACAAGCCCCTGAAAGCCCCCTATAAAGAGAGGTTCTGATGGACTTTGCTGCGTCTGAAGCCAGGGCTTAAGTCGGCACTCTCTCAGAGCGTTTGATTTCCTCAAACTGGGCTTACAATTTATTTCAGCTAGTGACTCCTGTCCTGCCCTGCTATTTCCCCATGCATGGCTATTTTGTGAAGAGAGAATATTACAAAGCTTGGTAAGTCTAGAAATCAATACTGTCAAAATAAATCACCAATCTTCCGCGTTTGCTTTAGGAGAATAACAATTTGTTGCTATCATCGATTTCAACTTTTAACTTATTTTGAAAACAAAACATATTGTATGATGAGCAGTCAGGCTCTAAAACCATCACGGCCCCTGGTGGACCCCCACACACATTTAACAACAAAGACTATAGCACCTGTTAGCATTGTTATGTAATACTACTTATGGGCAATCAATATATATATATATATATATATATACACGTATTGCTTCATAAATATTGTATTTATTACTGGCTGCTGTCCCTTAGTTAGTATTCAACTTCTGTAATGAATCTGTAGTATCTGTGTAATATATACTTCCACCTTTAATACTCACCTGGCTGCTATCTCACAACTTTATAAATGCTAAACTTATTTTATTTTGAAATACTGTCAGTGGTACTGGATGTGTATTTTGTAAATTGTGTAACTTTTGTCTTTAATATTTGATGCATGCTTCCTCATTAACATTCAGATATCATTGGCTCTTTACTTGCTGTAACAATGTAAATGTCTCCTCTGTTGGACGATTAAAGATATTCTGATTCTGCCATTATTAATAAACCAGGTCAGTGCTAAATGCACACAGAGAGTCGCTGAGCATGTGACTTCATTAATGACATGGCTATGCAACCAAAACGACTGTTGGTCATGGTTCCATTTCGTCCCTACTGACCGCCAGAGGCGGTGCTTTAGCACTGGATATGTCCATCGCACGCATGCGCAGTTTGAGTACCTAATAATAACAAAGTCACCGGTGACCCACGTGACTACGGCTACATAGGCCGGCGTCATTAGTGGATCGGATCCGATTATTGTAGCCTACAGCGTTCAGGTGTGACCGTTTGATCTGAGGGATTTCTCTGCAAGCAGCTGGCCGCGTGCAGCTTCGCGACTGACAGTCGGACCTACGGGTTGTTAACGCGTCCTCCAGGGGCTGTGGCCGGCTGTGCGCTGTGCAGAGCCTCGACGGACAGGTTTGTGTCAACTTGTTGCTGGTGATGGCTTTGTCCCCGCACCCTCTCCCAACTAAGTTGTCCTGATTGCTGTCTTATTTATTGTTTGGCTTAGACTTTCTGGTGACGACAGTGTTCCCGCTTCCTCTCCCATAAAGTTGCCCTTATTATGCTCTTTTGAAAGTTCTGCTTGTGGCGTTGTGCCCGAGCTATCATTAGCATTTGAGTCCCAGCTTTAGCTGCGTCTCTCATTCAATTTAGTATGGAAAGCCCATATTTTGCCCGTTTTTTGTTTGGATGCAGAGAGTAAGGTAAGTAGGCTACTGGCCATAGTTACTACTGTAACTACGGTCCTAGGCCATGTAAGCACTGGCCATGGTTACTAATGTGACCATGGCCTACGGTTCTATGCGGGCTGTTCTATTCCATAGAAGCTAATTATCTGGTCTTAACATTTGTGTTTTGACTTGGTTGAGTGTTAGCAGCAGCCGCTTGGCTAACACCTTGCATGTACTGTTAAGCTTCACTATTTAACTCAGCCGGTGAGGGCAGTGCTCTCGCTCCCGCTCCCGGTAACGTATGGTTTTGATTGCAGTA